TGAGAGACCAAATGAAGGACACCAAAGCCAGTGGAGTTGTCACAAAGTGGTGCTGTTTGAACTTGATCCTAAAAGTTTTTTCCAACTTAGCAGCTCCTCGATTTTAAGGAATTGTAGGTTTTGGCTGCACAAGGTGTGGATTTTGAGGCGATTGGTTTGGGTTTGGTGGTTTKGGGGTTGGAAAAGCCCTCCAAGGTCTGGATTGGGTTTTTTTAGCGATGTYGAGCTCATCACCAGATCTTCTTCTTCACCTTTTATTTCCCAGAAATTTTTGGGATTTCCAAGTGTTCCTTGAGCCTTTAATTATGAAAATAATTTTTTTCTATTCCTCTCTTGCTCCTCAACCCTGCTTTGAGCCATATCTGGAAATTCACCCCCTCCCTGTGCCTGCCCAGCAGCTTTTTAGGGTTTTCCCTGCTCATTTTGTGGCTGGAAGGTTTTCCTCTCTCTGATCCATCAATTCTCAGCTGGGCAGGCGTGGAGGTGCAGGGCACAGCCTGGTTTTTATAAAAAAAAATGATTTTTATCAAATAAAAACCTATTCAGGTTTTTATCAAAAAAAACAGAATAATGAGTGATTTTATTTCAGGGACTGTTATTTCCTCTACGAGGATTTTAGATTTTTAAAAATTCTGGAAAGAGCAGGGTATCAATGTAAATATTCCATAAATCGATGTTTTGGGGGAGAAGTTGGTTTGAAAGGTATTTATTCTCAGGGAATGGAATCAGGAGGGGTTTCCTTTGCTCAGAGTTGGATTCCTCCACAGTCTGAGAAAGCCTAAACCAAATGGAATTAACTGAAGAAAAGGGAAAATTGTTTACAGTGCAAAAACTTCTGGACTTGAATCATCCCTTAATTTTAATTTTATATTCATCTTTCCATAGTTACAGCACTGAGATCTGAGAGCAGCACTAACAAATGATTCCGTGTGGTTCTGTTGTTGAATAATTTTATTTTTTAAAAGCATAACTGGCATTTACAGTGACCTTGTCTTTAATTTCAAAGTCTGGGGAGGTGCTTTAACTTTTCATAATGTTAGTGCTTACAATATGTCGCATTTCAATACTAATTTGGAACTTTATTTAATTTAAATTTTAACTCCCGGTATCATTGCTGTTGTTATTTTGGTTTAACAGTGAATTCCCCAAGTCAGGTRTATTTTTAAATAAATTAATGCAGAGTAATTATCATATTCCTCAAATGGCTAAATCCCATATCGTGGCTCTGGTGCTTGACTTTATTTTTAACAGCAGCTCCCAAATTCACGCGTTGCATGAAATGGTTTAATAAATAAATCAATCAATAAATCATTATTTTTGACCTCAGTTTCTGCTCTCCTGGCTGATTTTGTGCTCTGGTGTTCTCCTGCAGATCTTTGCTGACGATGGTGGTCRCTGGAGGCAGCACTGGTGAAGATTTCATCATTTACAGACAAGATCTCTGAAATCTGTTTCCTTCAGACAGCAAAGGTAATTCTAAAATCCCACATCATCCACATTTTGCATTTTTCTGTAAGGAATAAATTCATTTTTCTTCTCCAAGTTTGGGAGCCTGACCACTCTGCCAGCTTTTAACCTCATTTTTAATATTTACTTATTCTAAAGTTTTATTTTTAATGTTTATTTATTCTAAAGAAAAATAATCTGCGTGGAAAGAGCTCGGTTGCTTCTTCTTTTGGTCACAACAATGTGAGTCCTAACTCAGCTTCCCTTTTTTCCCCTGCATTTATTCTTTTTCTTTATCTTTCTTTTCTCATGAATTCCTTGACCTGCAGATCACTTACAATATTTTTGTGCTACTGATGAAAACCTTAAAACTTGGAAGACTAATTGAGGATGGGGCTCATGCTCAAAAAGACAAAAATTAGGTGAAAAAAGGGTAAAACACTGGTAAATCTCTGGAAGATTCCTATAGAATTTAAAAATGTGACTTTAAATTAAATATCAAAGATAAAATCCAACATGTCTTGTGCCATTTATTTTCTCTGCTTGTATTAATTATCAATACACGGTTTTCTGATCCAAATAAATGTGAAGATATCCAGATTTTTGTTTATATATAATTTTTTCCTATTTTGAAACTATCTCTGCACACCACTGTAGGTAATATGGGACCATTTTTTTTTTTCTGTTATGGAAATCGAGCTAATTTTCCCACTCATTATCTGCTGTTAATTTAATGTGTGGCAATATCTGAAATTTACTGCTGATTATGGCAGTAGATTTTTGGTTAGCACTACAGCTCATCTATGAGCAAACCAATTAAGACATCATTTCAGGATATAATTGAGCTCCTAATGGGCCACTTGAATTCTCAGGGAATTTACATATTTGCTTTTCTTCGYTGTGCCAGAGAGGTCCAAAATGAGGCAGCAGCTTCAGTTTTGAACTTCTGGAGGCACCAACTCAAGCTGAGGTTTTTCAAAGTGAAGCCTCTAAAATATTTCTGAATGAAGGGTGTGGATAAATTCATGGAAAAGCTCCTTAATTCCCAAATTTGAATGACTTTTGAGAGCTGGGAATTTGAGGAATGCAACTTTGACTTTTTTTAGGATGCTGTGGCCCAGGTGATTGTATTCCCACATCAGTTAGAATTTGTTTTTAAACTGATTTAAAAACAAAGTTTGGTCAGTGTTTGTAATTCATTTTCTTCTTTTATCTGTTGGGATCTGCTGGGAAAGGGCTCATTCTGCAAATCTATATAATACAGATCTTTAGAATACATATATAATAAATACATATTATAAATAATCTCCATTTTCCAGTAGAGAATTCTTGGAAGTGCTTTGTTGGCCCAGACAAATTAAATGTCTCATTTAAGGAGTCTTTAAAAATGAAGAAATAAAAACAAAAGTAGTTCTTTCCCCTTTTCTTTTTCCCTTGATTTTGGGGATTTTTTGACCCTCAGAAGGAAAATTTTTACATTTGAAAGACAGAGCTATGAGAGGTTATTTATACCTCTGCCTTACTGAGGGGTTGGGTTTGTTTTGTTGTCACTCTTCCCTTCCAGATAGACCTTTGCATATGTTTTTATTTGTTCTAAAATGGGAACTACACCATTTGGTAAAGGAAAACCAAATGTTTTGGGGGAATAATTATCGAAGTCTGTGTCTGGGTTCCAAAAAAACCTCTTTTGCATGAAAAACTAGGGCAGGGAAAGTAGAATTTTTCTCTGTAAGGTTCATGTTGTACTGGTTATTTCCTGAAAGTTTTAATATGTACRTGTGGATAAACCTCAGGATGCTGCAGTGAAATCCATGGAAATGTTTCATTCTCATTTTCAGTGTTTTATTTTGTATTTTGTCCTCTTTTTTTCTCTCCTTTRAAGTGGGGCTCACAGCTGTATAGGTATTGCAGCCCCTCTGCTGTTCCATCTGATTTATTCTAAAATTCCATCTCCGGGTGGAATCCACATTCCTGGTATTTCCAAACCTTCCTGACCCAGCCTCACCCACTCAGACCTCGTGTATAATCTTTAATTTGATAATTAAMAACGATCATTAAACCTGCTATTTCCCTCTGTAGGAAACCCTTCCATGAAACATGGAATTGAACCAGCAAAATCCTGTTTTTAACTGTTCAAAGCTTTGGGTCTTCTGTCCCAAGTCATGGGCGGGCCTTTCCCTGTCCTTGGAATTCACAATTTTGCTGCCTTTAACTGGAATTCACAATTTTGCTGCCTTTAACTGTTCCATCCTTTGGATGTTCTGTCCCAAGTCATGGGCGGGCCTTTCCCTGTCCTTGGAATTCACAATTTTGCTGCCTTTAACTGGAATTCACAATTTTGCTGCCTTTAACTGTTCCATCCTTTGGATGTTCTGTCCCAAGTCATGGTCAGGCCTTTCCCTGTCCTTGGAATTCACAATTTTGCTGCCTTTAATTGTTCAATCCATGCTTTGGATCTTCTGTCCTGAGGAATGCTCAGGCCTTTGCCTGAACCTGGAATTCACAATTTTGCTGCCTTTAACTGTTCAATCCATGCTTTGGGTTTTCCATCCCAAGGAATGCTCAGGCCTTTCCCTGTCCTTGGAATTCACAATTTTGCTGCCTTTAGCTGTTCAATCCCTGCTTTGTATCTTCTGTCCTGAGTAATGGTCAGGCCTTTCCTGAACATGGAATTCTCAATTTTGCTGCCTTTAATTGTTCAATCCTTTGGATGTTCTGTCCTTAGGAATGGTCTGTTCTTTCCCCGCTCACGGAATTCACAATTTTGTGGTGTTTTGCACCTTTTACCAGCAGGTTTTGGAGAATCCCACGCTGGTTTGGGTTGGAAGAGACAGTAAAATTCATGCAGTGCCATGGCAGGGACACTTTCCACCATCCCAGGSTGTTCCAATCCCCATCCAACCTGGCTTTGGATATTCCAGGGATCCAGGGATGGAATTCCATCCCAGTCCCTCCCAGGAACAATTCCCAATTCCTAATATCCCACCCATCCCTGCCCTCTGGCAGTGTGACCCCATTCCCTGGGTCCTGTCCCTCCATCCTTGTCCCCAGTCCCTCTCCAGCTCTCCTGGAGCTCTCCCTGGAAATTCTCGCTGAGCTCTCCCTGGATCCTTTTCCCTTCTCCAGGGGAACATTTTCACCTCTCCCAGCCCTGGAGCAGCTCCGTGGCCTCCTCTCTCCAGCAGCTCCACATTTTCTTTGTGCTGGGGGCAAATCCAGCATGGATTTGCAAACTAGTCCTGCAGATCTGGGAGATGAGTGGGATTTCCCTCTGTTTTTCCCTCTGCTTCTCTTTTTAACCATGGAAAATCCCACTAGAGCCCCAAAACTGAGCTGACAGACACGCCCAGCTCCAAACCCTGCTGTCTCTGAGCAATTCCCAATCCTTGGAATGCCAGACAAACCCAGAATTCCCAAAGCTGTGGAATTCTCCCTCAGCCTGGCACACTCAAATCCCACAGCCATCCCATTCCCAAGGATTTGTCGGGATTATTCCATRTCAGACAAGGAGCAGGGTCATTTTCCAGCATTTTTCTGTTTTTCCTGAATTGTCATTAAAAGCAAGGAGCCCGATTGCCTCTTCTGAATTCCCAATGTTTTTCTGAGAACAATCCATTTTCTGTCTCTCTCCATCTCTTTTCCATATGAAAGGCTCAGAGTTTCGTGAAATCCCGAGGTGCTTCCTCTAAAGCAAGGTATAAACGAATTCTACCTTCTGAAATTTAATAAAAGGAGACCTACTTCATTTGAATTTTTTTTTTCTCCTACAGAAATTATTTAAAAGATTTCACTTAAAAAAAAAAAAAAGACATTTTCATAATGTTGCTCTTCAACATCACAACTTTTAGATGCRTTTTAAACCGAGTTTTCAAAGTACATTTGAAATGTAATGGATTTGATAAATTCTCTGCCTGAGCAGAAATTTTTGCACCACTTCTGCCAAGTTTTTGCACCGAGCAAGAAGTTTGTTTTCTGTGATCCCCCTTTCTCTTCCAGCTGCTCCTTCTGAAACTGAATTATGGGCTGACRTTCTGAATTTTTCCTCACAGAAATATTGTAAATAAAACTCAGCCTCTACAAAGTCTTTTCATTTTGAAAAATTGGAGCRGCAGCCACCCTGAACAAAAAGAAACCTTCCCAACACTTCTTTTTCTTGTAACCAAATTAATCAAGCTCAGGGATTTAGWTGTAATTTCAAAGATAAATGCAAAACTTTCTCTCTTTAAATCATAACAAAAGAGAGAAATTTAATATTTTTAATATCTCATTTTTCCTTAGCAAAGCTAGAGATTGGGTTCCTACAGCTCCAGGAACCTGGATACCTTCAAAAAGTTTTGAGGTTCTTGGGATATTTCCAGAAAATTTTGAGGTTCTTGGGATATCTCCAGAAAATGTTGAGGGTTTTGATTATTTCAGTCTGTGCTATTAGAAAAATGTGACTTATCTTCATCTTTAGGTTTTTCTGTAAAATCACAAGAAATTCCTGTGAAGTAAAAGCCRTATCTTTTTTTCCTGAAAGTGCTGCTGGTTTAAAATAAGAGATAAGAGCTCCTGATGTTATTTGTTGATTAGAAATAATATTTAGTTCAGCAAAAAAAAGATTTCATTTGGCAAAAATTTGGCTGATTTTGCCATCTGTCAGGGGCGTTACTGAGGCTGTATGTAGCTCTGGTGCCTTCATATCTGTAAATGTATAAAAATCCWGTAAAAATCTGCAAATATCTGCAAAAATCTGCAAAAAATATTGTAAAATCCTGTAAAAACAGCTCTTTACAATGTTTCTTTTTGGGAGATTGTGAAGATTTAAAACTGAGGGTATGAAATTTGGGGGTTTCTACTAAACGTGCTTCCATAATTCAGCTTTTTCTGTTTCTTAGTGCTTCTTTTAATGCCTTTTCAAGGGAAATTATGATTACAAAGTACCCATACATCAAAATGATTTTTCTGATTTATCTTAAATTGCATTTCCTTGATGATCTAAAATCTAAAATACATTTCACAAATATAAACACTAAATTGTGAGG